TGACAGAAGAGTTAGTGGCTTGAGCTCAACGACCTGTCGACACAACACCCCATGATAAAGTTCTCTTCCTCTTTCTCCTCCTCCTCTTTTTCCCTCTCTCCTCCTCCTCCTACTCCTCCTCCTCGTCTCCGTTCTCAGTTTTCCTTCCTCTTCTTTGTCCTCTCCATTTCCCGTCTCCTTTCATCGATCAACTTCCTCTCCTTCTTCTTAGCAGCTCGTCACATTTGCATCTTGACTTCTTTCAGGTACGCACATGCTTTGAAGTTCGCCTCGCAAGTTTTGTGTCTACTCGGCAACGGCGACTTGGTCATCAGGTGTGAAAGGCTTCTGATCCCTCACTTTCCCAGCTCTTCTCAGCTCTCTTCTCTCGCCTTCCCAGCTCTTCTCAGCTTCTGCTTTCAGATCTCCTCTCGAAGTCTCCTACTCCATCTTCGTCACATGGTTGGGCGTCGCGTTCATGGTGACTGTTGCGGCTTGTCAAAGTCAAGTTGACTCGTTGGCGTCAAGACCTACGCACTGTCAGTCTGCACAGACCTCATGCACGTCAGAAACCGTGAGAACGCGAGGTTTCAGCTTCAGGTCCGTCGTACGTCAGACTTAACTCGCGTCGAATAGGGCGAACCAGTCCTAACTCGTCCTGTTTCTCAGCTCCAGCGGATTCTCAACTACTCGAGGTTTCGAAATCTGCCGAAAGAGTTGAAACGATCGCTGCTGGAACAGGTGAGAAGGAGCTGGAGCTGAGGAGAAAGCCTTGTTTCATCATAGCACACATGATTTTTTGTTTGTTTTGCTGACTCCTTCCTCTCATCTCAGTGTGCTTGGCGATGGCAGACCAATCAACTTCTCGACGAGTCTGAGATCATTGGTATGAACGTCTCATCGCAATTCACCCTCATCGTTGTCCAGGGAGCTTGTCCCATGGAGCACAATCAAACATGGTAATGCTCTTAAAATATCCTCCTCCTCTCTCCTCCTCCTGCTCCTCCTGCTCCTCCTGCTCCTGCTCCTGCTGCTCCTGCTCCTGTCATTCTTCTCCTTTTCCTCCTCCTCCTCATGTCCCCCTCCTTCTTATGACAATCATTGTCATACCGCTCATCGTTTTGTTCCCTTAGGCTCTTTTTCGATCCATCGCTCTTGTCTCTCGTGTGCCATACTTTCAGGTTGCTCCTCCCCCTGCCCGTTCCCCTTTCTTCTCCTCGACTCCATCGCAGCGTCTGAGCCGCTTCCTGCTCCTCTGCTTGCTCTTCTCCTCATCATCTTGTTGAAGGGCATGGATAGCGAGTGTGTTCGACGTCTGTCGAATGTCGTGCAGGTCTTGGGAGGTGTGCGAGTGCTGCTTGTTGACGAGTCCATCAGTCCATCTACTGCGTCTCCAAGGACATGCTTGCACTCAAAGATGACAAGGTGAAGAACGCATCGCGATCTTGTGACTTTGACCGGTTTTGCGACAAGTGCGATGGAGTTTACCTCTTAGCTCGAGGACAAGTTCGGCTCCTCAACTACTCACGTACATTTTCTCACCTCACCTCTCAGCCTCTGACGACAAGGCAGACGCAAAGAACGCGTGGAGCAACAACGAGGTGCCGGCAGAGCAGAAGGCGAGCAGCATGAAAGTTTCTCTCTACGAGGTACTCCGCTTCTCGTGCCCGGGCTGAGCTTGACGAGAGCTGGAGGTTGGCTTCAAGGAGGAAGGAGAGCTCATGGGAGAACAGGCGCTCATGGAGGAAACCAAGTGGCCTTATCATGTGCAGGAACGTCCTGAGGAGGGAGGAAGGAGGAGGGAGGAGGGAGGAGGGAGGAGGGAGGAGGGAGGAGGGAGGAGGGAGGAGGGAGGAGGGAGGAGGGAGGAGGGAGGAGGAGAGGGTTCGACCTGAGGGTTTGACGAAAGAGGGTCAGGCGTGCGCCTGCTGCGAGCTCCTCTTCCTCGAGCGCAAAGAGTTTCTCCTCGCGTTGCACGAGTTCCCACATGAGATGGACAGGCAAGCTGCAGACAGAGTTGGTGTTGATTGCTGAAGCATGTTCAGATGCAAACGACTAGCAAACAATCTCTACGGTCAAAACTTGTTCTTCGAGCGCGAAAACAAAGGAACGTCTGGTGATTGTTCAATTGTATATGTTCCATCAATCATCATCGCTTCAGGAATGAGGGGATCGTTCAGAATGGACTCAGAGAAAGGAAGTTTCATCGCTCAGGTATGTTTCTCTTGTTTCTCTCCCTCCTCCTCGCCTTCGAATCAATTTCCTGCTGTCAGCGTGAGATGCGCGCCATGAACGAGCAGCTAGTGAGGTTCAAGACGGAGATCCTCAAAGCTGTACAGGAGGTGAGAGACTATAGCTTCACCTCTCCTCTCCTCTCACCTTCTTTCTCATCATAACCTTCCTCTTGCAACCTTCTTCGTTCCAGATCGCAAAGTCTCCTCCTCCCAAGACCAGCCTCCGTCCCCCCAGCAGGGGTTCCAGTCTCGCTTCTCCTGTCAAGGAGTCGCCGGAGGAGAAAGAGGGAACAAGACATGCGGGTGGAGGCGACAAGAAGTCAACTGCCGTCAAGCCAGTCAACCCCAAGACGCAGACGAGGACAAGGCCACATGACAACGAGCGAGGAGAGTCAGCGGCGATTCGGGTTGTAGAGGCACAACACGAGCGAGGACAGAGCACAAGCGAGACAGAAGAAGACGGTGAGAAGTCAGGTGAGGGATACGGTGACAAGACAAGCTCGCCTGACTTTCATGGCAGACCAGGAGGAGGAGAGGAAGGGAGAGGAGAGCTTGTTGGACTCGTTGCACATCACGTCTCTCCCGGAGATCACTATCTTCGAGGACTATGGCAACAGCAGCAATCGTCCTAGCTACAGGTCCCTGCGTCAGGCGGAGTCGAGTGACTCTCATGGGTCAAGGCGCAAGGATTTCTCCGTCTCCTCCTCCCTCGTTCACAGGTGAAGTCATCTTCATGCTTGTGCTCCATGGGCTCACGACCAGCAGGATACAAGGTCGATGAGGAGAGTCGTACAGGCGACTTGCGAACAAGATCGTGTGTCTTGATGTTGTACATAGAGCATGCTACATTAAGAATGAAAGAGGACTTCAACGCATTGCTCCTCCATCTGACGACTTGTTGAAAGATTCTACATACTGCATGTTACATGCTGCATGCCTGACTCCTCCCTCGCATCCTCCTCCATCATTCTTGTCCTCTTGCATTATGTGACAACTTCTGTCACTTCTCCCTCTCGCTCCCACATCTGCTTTCATCCCGCTTCCCTGCCTTCCTGTCCCTACTCCTCTCATACTCCCCGTCCTCCTCCCACTCCTCCCTCCCCCCACTGCCTCCCCCTGCCTCCCTCTCCCCTCCCCTGCCTTCCCCTCCCCTCCCAGATTTAACGGCCCTCCCTACCCGAAGTTCCAATACCTTAAAAATACCTGGAGCTCCCTTTCCCGCATCCTTCGACGCTGCTGCACCCCTCCTACTCCTCGTCCTCTCGTCCTCTCGTCCTCTCGTCCTCTCGTCCTCTCGTCCTCTCGTCCTCTCGTCCTCTCGTCCTCTCGTCCTCTCGTCCTCTCGTCCTCTCGTCCTCTCGTCCTCTCGTCCTCTCCTCTTCTTCCCTCTCCCTCCCTCTCCCTCCTCCATATTCACTGTCCACATGGTGTTCGCAGCAATCCTGTTGCTACCAGCAGCGATGTGAGGAAGAGGATGGCAGCAAACTCGCTCCTCGGGGCTGCAAGCTGAAGCAGGAGCGCCATGTTCAGGTTCTTTCGCAGGAAGAAGCAGACGCTGAAGAAGCTCTGCATCTTCGCCGAGGAGCGCGAGCTCAAGGAGGGGGGGCTGGTGCAGGAGGTTCAGACGATCCTGCAGGGGAAGGAGGTTCTCCCCGTCCTTGCCTCAGACCTCGAGGAGCTGAAGGAGACGTCGGAGGACGCGAGCGTCATGTTGTACATCATCGACGTGTCGTCCGTTCGCATCCCCAAGTGGGAGGCGTTCAGGTTCGTGCGGTCGGAGGTTAACAACCTGAAGAAGCAAGTGATCTTCCTCGTGTGGACGAGCGACTTCCTTGAGATCTGCCCTGACGACATCCGAGACATCCTCAACGGTGACGTGAACTGGTCCGCCACCACCCGCGAGCAGCTCGCAGACGTCCTGACCGACAAGATCGACGAGGCGCCAAGTCAGACGCCAACAGCGAGCAAGGCAGAGGAGGCGCCGAAGCCTGCGGTCAAGAGGATGTCCAGTCACAAGCTCGACAGCGTTGCCAGCACCCCAGCCCCCTCGCTCAAGGAGGAGGAGCAGGAGCTCCAGCGCCTGTCCGTCTCCTCTCGCCGCATGTCAGTATCCGCGCATGTTGCCCGTTGTCTGACTTGGATGCTCGTCAGGTTGCCGAAGCCAAGCCGAGCAGCCGCTGAGTGGAGGAAGCTGAGGGAGAGGAGGAGAGGCCCCGACCGCGCCCCCTCCCCTCAGGTGCTCCCCTACTATCAGACCGAGCAAGCGCCATCAGCAGGTGCGAGCAGTCGATTCAACGATCTTGCTGATCGAACCACAGGGGGGGAGGGGGAGGAGGGGGAGGAGGACAAGTTCAAGCGAGTCTCTTCCAAGGGGTCGAGGAAGCCGGTGGCCGATGACCCTCCTTGACGCCTCTGACCGTCTTACAGGCGACAGACGCTGTGGAGCTGGATAAGGAGATCTTTCAGAGCCCAGCAGCTCCCCAGGAGCTGCCGGATGACGAGGCTGCAGCGGATATCGAAGAGGTGGCTCGGTAGGAACCTCTCCGTTGCCTCACGTGAGGACGCAGGAGCTGGACCTAGAGGAGGCAGCTGCGGGAGAAGGAGCGCAAGCGGACTCAAGCAAGTCGAGAGGAGACGCCAAGTCAACGAGCAACGCGAGGGAGGGGAACCGCGTGAGGCTCAACTTGGACCCGAGGAGCTCGGAGATGTGGTCGGCTCTGACCAAAGAGAATCAGGTGACTGCGTATGAGGAGGAGCAAGAGGCTGTGACTGACGTCTCCTCCTCAGGAGCTGGACAATACCGTCGGGCTGCTACGATCCTCGGCGATCTCGGCCAAGAGCAAGATGATAGATGACAGGAACAAGGAGATCAGCGGGGCTGGGGGCGTTGAGACCTACGGCACTGTTGATGTGACTTTCTCCTCCTGCCTGCATGACCTCTGACGTTCTTCAGTTGCTAGTGGTCGAAGCTCGGGGGATCAACAAGGTCGACGACCATCACGGTCAGCCTCCTCCCCCTTCCTGTCTCTGTCTGACATCTCCTCCTGCTTCAGGCGCAGATTCGTTCGTCCATATCCGAGTCTTCCCGACCATTCAAACGAGCAAACCTGTGCTCCTTCCCCCGCCGCCTCGCATGCTCTGACCTGGTTCTCGCGTCCAGGACTTCGAGGACAAGACCCCCAATCAGTACACGCGCGACGTCGTTGCTCGCACGCTGAAGCCGCGGGTGACGCTGCTGTTGGCATGTCCAGGCTGACACGAGCAGTGGGAGAGCAGCTTCAAGTTCAACGTGCGAGGCGTCGAGTCCATTATCGAGCTGGAGGTGACGGCAGAGAGCTTGTCATGTTTCAGCTGATGACGTGGCGGCAGGTCATGGTCATGGATCTCGAGGGCTTCTACAAGCCCGTCGGGATGGTCCAGCTGCCGGTGGACGCTAGCTGGACAGGAAGCAAGCTGATGACGCTTGTCGGTCTGTCAGGTCAGGAAGCTCGAGAAGCAGCCTTCCCTTCAAGGTTGGCACCAGCTCACTCGGAGAGGGGGGGGAGCTTCCAGCATCGCAGTGAACCTCAAAGGTGCGAGTGCGAGAGAGAAGGGGGAGAGGAGGAGGAGGAGGAGGAGGGTGAGACATATTCACTTCAGTTGATTTCGACAAGCTAGACTTCGATCCGCTTCTGCTGGCGGCTAAAGCTCGCAAGGTTGGATGGCTGCTGCCTGCCTGCCTGACGCCACGAGAGCAGGAGCGCAAGAAGTTGCAGGAGGAAAGCATGGCGGAACTCCCTCCCTGGATCTCCAAGTGGGACATCCACAGAGTCAAGTGACCTAGTCCCTCCCTCTTGCCCTGTTGCTCATCCACAACAGAGAATTCAACGCGAACCTTCAGCAAGTCTTCAAGAGGATGCGAGGTCAGCTTTCTGAACTCCTCCTCCTCTTCCTCCTGTCCTCTTCTTCATCATCGGCTGCACCTTATATCACGGCAGATGCGCTGGAGGAAGACACGCTGGAGGCTCTCGAACAAGCCCACGAGGTACGTGCTGTCTGCTGCTTCGTCAGTGAGAGAGGGGAGCAGGAGATCTTTCGGTTCCGTCTGCAGGAGTACGAGCTTGCTCATGAAATCGTTCAGCGACTGGCCGAAGTCAGAGAAAAGATGCAGGCGCAGGAGAAGGTTCGATCCAAGATGATGGTGCTGGTCACCAAGGAGCATGACAACATTATGTTCACCCTCACCGCTGTTCAAGACCTTCTCATGCAGGCTAAGAGAGTCGATCTCACGACTGAGGACCCGCTTGTCGCCAGGTGCATGGAGCTACTCCAGGTTATAGAAGAACAGATCGCACAGAAAACCGCATAGAATATGAGCATAAACCAATCTTGAAGTCAAAAAAGTTTATTGGGATGATAAATAATATTCCACATCAGACCGTCTCAGTCTACTTTCGTCGACATCTACGGCCTCTTGACCTTCGGTGTTTACCAGGGGCGGTTGTCGAGGTCAGAGTTCCATGAGGGCCAGGTGCCGTTGAAGGCAAGGGGGAGCTGCTCATGGTGCTGGTACTCCTGACGCCACATCCAGAGGGACTGAAACATTGCTGCTGCAAGAACAGTCAATACATGTTCAACCTCCAACGACAATTTGCGCAATCGTATATGAAGAGCAAGAAGAACAGACAACAGGGTACATAAACAGGAGACAGAACAGAGGGACGAGAAGACAGTTATGTTTAATCAGGAAGGGAGAGGGAGCATAGGGTCGCAGTAAGAAGCCTCGCATTTCAGCTTCATGATCGGAGATGTGCATCACCTGCTGTGTTGGACGGGAGAGGTGGGGGTCGAGGCTATAAGGGGAGAATTCTCTAAATCGGGCACAGTACGGGATGATCCCTCTCGGTACAAGACAACAATACTACTTTTATTATATTACAAAATACTGTACACACTTCCTCTGACTGGTACAAAATTATTGAAAAGTAGTTATTAAATCCACCCTGGTTTTTGATTGTTCATGAAAGTTTAAATTATCTGTTATACAAAGAATACTTCAACATAGTTTTATTTTTGTATCAATTCTCACAATCAATGTTTTATAAGCTGTGAGCTATTTCCGGAGCAGAGGATATACCCCTTGTGATGAGAGAGATTTCATTGATTATTATCTAGGTGGGGTCCATTTTTAAATGTACTATTTTAGTTTGGTTCAGCGGTACGGAAAAGCCCTCTGCCTTGTTGAGCCTGGATGGAGGGGTATATCCGCACTCAAATAGACGGGTGATCTTCTTCGTTCCTGGAGTACGGGTACTTCAAATAAAAAACATATCCTACAGGGGGGTCGGTACAACCCCGTGGGGTAATTCCACCCCTTTTCATTGAAAAAAGTACGGGTAGTATTTAATTCTCCCGAATGTACCCCTTCCAAATACAGGCAATATGTGGGTACTTCACTTGTTTGGCTGACTACCCCACTTGTTATTGAGTAAAAGGTAGGTGCTCATACCTACCCCGAGAATTCCCAAAAAAAATGGGGAAGTATGGGGTAACAAAGTGTCCAGTAGCAATGCCAGGGGTGGGTTATCACATCAACGGGAAAGTACGGGTGCACATAAGGAAAAGAATATGAATATTTGAGGGGTACTTGAAGTTTCGTAGGGGTAATGTTACACTAGGGTGGTTTTTCCCTAGAATATCGGGGGTGGACAATGTGTTACAAGGTAAAGAATGGGTACGGTGGTGCAGAGAAGGACATGGGTGGGGTACAAAGAGGGGTGGTTTACTATTGTTATACCCCTATATAAGTCAGGGTAGTGCTTCAGGACATCCCACTTGGGGGTGGGGGTTATCGGTATTAGGGTAGGGGTAGAGGGTTTGGTTGACGTGGGTTCCTCGTGCGGTTCGCAATGGTAAGTGAAATGGGTGGGAAGTGCAGAGGAGCGAAGGGAGGGAGGAGGGAGGGAGGAGGCAGCTGCGGTGAGAGTACAGGCTACGATGGAGGCTGAGTGCAGATGATGTGATGTGATGGAGGAGGCGAGCAGGGAGCGCAGCAGCGAACTCCGAGCGGGAACAGAAAGTAGAGGTGCAGGTACTTGTTCAGAAGTTCACAAGGAAGAATGGGGGAAGGACAGCTGCAACAGGCACGGAATGCGTTGAGGAGGCTGACATGTTCAGATGTGGGAAGGAAGGAGGTCAGGGAGGGATGCCGTGAGGGAGGGAGGTGAAGAGACGAAGAGACATCGAGATTGAGGCTGAGATCCGGATAAACATTGCTCGCATAGGAAGTGATTGGCAGATCTGAGAGGAGATACAAGGGTTTAATGAATAGTAAGATTCTGAAAGTTCTCGCGATGATAATAGAGAAGGAGATATCGAGGGTTGAAATGGAACCGGAACATGCTCTTAGGATCACGTGGCTGAGCGCAGTTTCTTTGAGGCAAGGAGGAGAGATAGGAGCACAGTAGATGTGCTGCCTTCGACCCAACAAGTGTAAGGCATCAAGATCTATACCCAATCAGCTTTAAAGAAAGATGATAGAGATACGATCCGCGCGCAGCACGCACGTTCAAGCTAGGTTCAGGGTACAGGATCAAGAATCTAGATAGATTGAAATGGCAACAGAGCACCACGAATGAGGTGGGGTTGCATATGAATCAAATTCGGTCGTTCTTGTGTTTTGAGATTGATATCTGGTTTATTGCACGTTTGCCTGGCATCTTTGGCTCACCCTGACATCGCTTGATAGGCTGACGTGGAGAAAGAAGTCGAAAGCGCAGAAGCTGAAAAGGAGCCTGAAGTTGAGGAGGAGGAAGAGGAGGAGGAGGAAGAGGAACAGGAGGAGATCACTGGGTGATGTCTCTGTTGCGATAACCCTGGCAAGCACTGAATTCATCGCGTGCAGAGGTCTTCTCCCTCAGGATTTGAGCAAGCTCAAGATAGAAGAGCTGAGTCCTCTCACCCCCGAAGTCATCAGGTCAGCTCAAGCTGTGGAGTTGATTGATTGACTTGACACTGTCACAGCCGTCAAGCAACGATCAATGTGGGAACCATCGGTCACGTTGCTCACGGAAAGTCAACGGTTGTCAAGGCTTTGTCCGGCGTGATGGTGAGGATTTACTGTGCTCAGAGGAGGATCGAGAGTAATTTGACTGATCATCAACGTATCAGACCGTTCGTTTCAAGAACGAGCTCGAGCGTAACATCACCATCAAGTTGGGTTATGCCAACGCGAAGATCTACAAGCGCATCAATCCCCCTGACGAGAAACCTGTATTCCTGTCGTCCCTTGAGCATGCAGGGCCATCTGACAGGATTTACAGGGCCACTACAGGGCGTTCGGCTCTTCTTCCTTCCTTGACGATAAGAAGCGCGTGATTCTGCCCCTTGGAAAGTAAGCACAGTGGATGATGCCATTCTTACAGCACATGCTTTGTGTTCCCGTTGTAACTCGGTTCTTGTAGGCCAGGTGACACTAAGTGCAAGTACGAAGTCAAGACTGGTCCAGGATCTTTGGACAAATCTGTGAGTGAAGATAGAATAGGATCTGCCAGTGGCTCATTTGGTGTTGTCACAGGCGTCTGAGGGGGAGTGGGAGCTGCTTCGCCATGTTTCGTTCGTTGATTGTCCCGGGCACGACATTCTTATGGCTACGATGCTTAACGGTAACACTAAGTCCTTGCCATCTCCTCTTCTTCCTCCCCTCCAATCAACTCTCGCTCGACAGCCTCGTCGTCTGACTTGCGGGTCCAGGTGCTGCCGTTATGGATGCTGCGCTCTTGCTCATCGCTGGCAATGAATCTTGTCCTCAGCCCCAGGTAGCGATCGATCCTCTCTGAACCTGATCCTCCTTGCGATTTACTTCCCTTCGCTTATTCCCGAGCCTGACTGCCTGCCTGCAGACTGCAGAGCATCTTGCTGCTGTGGAAATCATGAAACTGCAGAACATCATCATCCTTCAGAACAAAATCGATCTTGTCAAAGAGAGCGCGGCCCTCCAGCAGGTTCGCCTCAACTTGGCTCGACCCCGGACATGACAAGCCCTTGCTTGCAGTACGATGACATCAAGGCTTTCATCGAGGGCACTGTCGCCGAGAAGTCTCCCATCATCCCCATCTCTGCTCAGCTTCGCTACAACATCGACGTTGTAAGTTGCCCCCTGCTCGTCCCTGCTGCCTCTCACCTTCTCCTCCCGCAGGTCGCCGAGTACATGGCCAAGTGCATCCCCATCCCCAGCCGCGATTTCACGAGCGACCCTCGCATGATCATTATTCGTTCCTTTGACGTCAACAAGCCCGGGTAAGGCCAGACCTCCTCCTCTCGGCTTCTCCTGCTTGACTCGATCGCTCACAGAGAAGAGGTGGAGGACCTGAAAGGAGGAGTGGCCGGAGGTTCTATCCTCTGTGGTGTCTTGAAGAAGCATGCGGAGATCGAGATCAGACCAGGAATTGTCAAGAAGGATCAGGAGGGAAAGGTGTGAAGCCTCTCCTTGCCCTTCTCTCTTGCTCGCCTGCCGTCTCTTGGTCTTTGCTTCCTCACTGTTTCAACCGTCAGGTCACCTGCCGTCCTATCCTCAGTCGCATCGTTTCGCTGTTTGCCGAGCACAACGAGCTCGAATTTGCTGTACCTGGCGGCCTCATCGGCGTCGGCACGAAGATCGACCCGACGCTGTCTCGAGCTGACCGTCTTGTCGGACAAGTAGGTCAAGTTGCTGACATAGCTGGAACTCAAAGATGGTCCACAGGTTCTGGGCGAGAAGGGGAAGCTTCCTGAAATCTTCTCGGACCTGGAGATCAACTACTTCCTTCTCCGTCGCTTGCTCGGTCGGCTGCAGCTGTGGATTGCGTGAGAAGGCTGACAACTCTACCAGGCGTGAAGACGGAAGGAGACAAGAAGGCTGGAAAAGTTGAGAAGCTCACTAAGGGAGAAATTTTGATGGTGAGGAGGCAGGGAGGGAGAGGGAGGGAGTGCGGGACGCTGGAGAAAGGAGGCAGATTATCACGATGATGCTGAGACTGGGCAACTATCAAAGGAGGAGGAGGAGATAGTGGTGACAATATGTTGGAGGTTGGGAGGGGAAAATGAGCGAGTGTGTGGAGGAGGTGCTCACGGAAAGTGTAGGTGAACGTCGGATCGACCTCAACTGGAGGAAACGTTAGGGCCGTCAAGGCTGACTTGGCCAAGATCGAATTGACTGTCCCGGTTTGCACGCAGGTCTGTCTTGACATGACCTGCTTCCAGATGTGACGTGAGCATGGCAGGTGGGCGAGAAGATCGCCTTGTCTCGCCGTGTTGACAAGTGAGTGAGGAGGAGGAGGAGAGGATGGGGATGCTGTCAGAGTGGATGAGGGATGGAACAAGTGATGTTGGGGGAGGCGGTGCACGCGGAGTTTGACCCTGTTGCTGACTTGAGCCGTGGCAGGCATTGGCGTCTCATTGGGTGGGGACAAATTAACCGCGGCAGAAGAATCGAACCTGAATCTACCATGTGAACTGAAAAATTATCTCTTAAGTACACAAGAACTTCTCATGCAGTCCTGGCTAAAGTGGAAAGTGCTTCTACTTTTATCTCCTCCACATGCTAAGATTCTCTTCCCTTTCATCCTCCGTGCCTCTCGCTCCAGGCGCATCGATTACTCAGAAACAGCAGCAGCACCAGACACGATCTCTCCAAGCTCCTGGGTGATGAGCGCCTGCCTGGCCTTGTTCATCTGCAGCGTGAGCTTCGAGATCATCTCTCCGCAGTTCTTGGTCGCGTTCTCCATAGCCTGTACACCCTATCAGCTCCGGCTACTGCATCTTCCTGCTTTCTTCACCTGCATACGAGCAGAAGTCTCGGCAGTCGCCGACTCGAGTAGTCTAGAGTAAAGCTTGCTAGCCTGTCGAGAACGAGTCAGAGAAGGGGACGGAGATGTCGCGAGCTCGACCAAGCAGAACTGCATCATGTCGTTCATGTGGAGGGATTCGGAGAACTCGTCATCGAACTCGAACTTCTCTCCGAAGACGGCAAGACGATCCTCCATGGCATCTAAGGGCAGGTCAGGATCGATCTTTGACCGGTTCTACAGGGCATCAGCATCATCACCAGCAGACTCCATCTCCTCAACGATAGTGTCGTAGGCGATGGCAGACTTGAACTTGTTATAGATGATAGAGGCCTGGCAATGCAATACTTGAGATTCAAGAGCTGCCCATCAGATCGTCAACCTTGTCATATTTCTTCGTCAGCACAAGTTCTTCCGCAATCTCCGAGGCAAGCGCAAACGAGGTAGGGTTCACGTAAACATCCGAGAAAATCCTAGTGATGTATTGGCCGTGCGTGCGTTTCAGCAAGGCCTCTCCCTTGTTGCCTTTGAGCCATTCAAGTCAAAAAAGTGATGAACATGAGCTTTGATCCTTACCGATGATGGCAACGACCTTATCCCCAGGAATATCATTCAACAAGTTCTTGGTTGCCTTGGCAACAGCACTGAAGACTAGAATCAGTTGTTTCAAAAGGATCTTGCAAAACTTCCACCTGTTGATACCACCGCAAAGTCCACGATCAGAAGTGATGGGAACAATCAAGTTTGTAAGATCCTTGGCCGCGACGTCCTATGGACAAGCTTACAAGAAGCAACAGCCTTCAACACATTTAAAACCTCTTCAGGGGCGGGTGGGATCTCCTGAATCATTTTCTCAACGCAGTCACCGAGGGGTCTTGACTGCATTCCATCATGAGCAAACATGACGCGCGATCATTCAACAAACACACCTCAAACATACGCCCCTGAAAGCCCTTCAACTTCGCTGCAGCAACCATCTTCATGGTCTTGGTGATACGCTGGATGGACTTCACAGCAGCGAGGCGAATACGAAGCTGCTTGAGGGATGCATTTCGTTCTCCACGCACAACGGCATCAGGAAGTCTTGTTGTCGTTGCTAGGAGCACCTGAAAGATACAACATGTTACTTTCAAGTCTCTGTAAAAACAACCCCAACGAAACAAACAAAACACGAGTCTGCATGGATCTGACAACAAACGATGATTTGCAATCTAAGAAGCAACACGCAAGATAAACTGTTTGTACATCAAGGTGAAAGTTTACCACAATAACACAATGAAAAAGATTTCAATGCGGTCAAAAAGGAACAGAGAAGCCGGTCAAACGATTAGTACTAACAACCGCCAGGAACCTCCGGACATTCAGAGCATGAAAGAAGATTCAAACAAGACACAATTTGCTTTTCCATCAAAGATACGGTCATGTGAAAACAGAAAATAGCAAAAGGAACGAGACAGAGAGCATCGAGCGACGCCGGACTCAAGCGGATCTTGAAAGAACAGGAGCCAACACGCTACGGTTGGAGGACCAGGTGGAAGGGGATCGCAACGTGGAGAGTGGACAAGGGTGAAAGAAGAAAGATTCCTGGGAGGCGGGAAGGGGAGAGGAGGGAGGAGAGTACCGAGCGGGAGGGGCCGGCGGCAGCTGCTCGAGCGAAAGAGAGCATAGTGGGCACGCGGCGGCGGCGAGGCCAAAACGTTTTAGAGCGATTTTTAAAAAGATATTTTGAATGTATATGCTTATCAATATTCGTTTTAAGAGAAAAATTTTGTATTAAAAAACAATTATGTTAGTTTTTAAAACGAGAGTAACAGCAGTTTGGTTCAATCATAGTGTTATAAAAATTACTGGAAAGAGCCTCTTTGATGTAAATTTTAGAATAGCTACTATTTTAAAAATATATCAGAACAAAAACAAATAATACAATGCGGATCATAAATCTTTGGTATCTGCCAATAATATAAATATCGCTCACAAAATCTTAAAACAGTAGTTTGGTTTTAAATGTCCACCACCCCCACCCCTCTAAATTCTCTATCACTTGCCTCCCCCAATCTTTGGCTTTTCCCACCGGACCTCAGCCCTCTGATAGTACCCCTTCGTAAAAGAGTACCCTACCTCTTGACTCCACCCCACCCGCATGGTAATTCCGGTTCTGTATAACTTGGGTTCAGAGTTTGGGAGGGGGTGTAGTCGATGTCCTTGTTGAGGGGGGTGGGTACTTGAAGAGCCATCAGTTTTCCCCCTGTGCAATGGTGAGAATGTTTCAGCAAGAGGAGAAAGTTATGAGGATAAGAAGATGTTTCAATGGCAAGAACACTCGTGATATCACTTATGGAGGCGAGTGTGCAAGTGAATGTTGTAGCGATATGCTTCGATTGAAATGTGTGCTGATGCTGTGCTGATATTGCAGTAGTAATTGTAGTAGAGATGAATGAAACATCAAGTGCATATGTGACCCGTAGCTTTGCTTGTTTGTTGTTCCATGTATTCATAGGCTCCTCTGCCTGTCCGGACCGTATCATGTTTGCGATGATTTGTCTTGCTTGTCATTGCAGACATTGATTTCCTCTTCGCTAACTCTCGTCCAGTTCACTGAGTTGTTCAAGCGCGATCCCCTCAAGAACCTCAAGCTTCACCTCGGAGGTTTCTCCTACAAGCAGGCTGAAGCCGTCAACTCCGCCGACATCGACAACGTAAGAGATGTGACCTGTCCTTGTGTTTGTGTGTCGCCTTATCTCTATTGTTATCATACATCCTTCTGATGCTGCCGGCAGGGTGAGCTCGGCACCAACATCGCGCAGACTTGGAACGTTCACTTGTAAGACAGCCAAGTGGTTGCTGTAACCATAGCATGTTGAAGTAAAGATCCTCCATGACGCATCCAACCAGCAATCTCGTGCTGTTTCCTCGCGGTCGAGGTTGTCGAAGACATTCCGGCTCGATCACGTCATCGGTTCATTCTCAACAGCTACACATGTACACGAGCTCGACTTGTGTCGCTGATGATCGTCAGTCCTCCCGCCCATGACCCATCAATGCTGGCCTGAGCTCGGGATGTGACCCCCTTCTATCACCGCCGGCGACGCCGACAGCACCGCCTGCGGTCGAGCAGGTCAGAGACGGTACAGCGGACGTCCCACATCATGAAGTATCCTCGTCATCACCCTGGTTGGGGATGCACAGGCAAAGCAGATAGCAGGAGGAACACGAGGCAGGAGGGGCGAGGGAGAAGAACACGAGCAGTCTCACTCACTTCCATGTGATTCACGCGGATCTCTACAGTGTCTAGATATGTCAGCCCCATTCTATACCTGCACGCGTGAAAGAGAGCGTCAGAGAAGAATTGCCTTTCTCAACCTTGCTCCCCATACTCGAGCAATATCTCGTCAGGGTCGGTCAGGGTCTTGTGTTTCCTGAGCAAGAAGCTTTCAGTGCATGCTTGTAAGACAGAAGGTCCAGCTTTGAAAAAGCTTCAAGTTGCATCTCGAAGCCTTCTCAACTGATTGCTCGCTATCATCGTATGAGTGCAATCACGACAAAACCTCCACACATCCAAGCGCAAACTCCTCCAGGGATCCGCATGCCATGAGGAACATCACACATCCTCCCGCCGGCACACCATATCATCCTCATCATATCCCTCTTCCTTTCCCTGCGTCACCCCAGGATACCTCTAGTATGAAGTACACCTCCCAGATCCACCTCTCGCCACAGCTCTACCGCACTCGCAGCACTCCAAGGACGGAGAGGAGGCAGGGGTGGGGTGACCGCACCTGAAGTCAGTTCTAGCTCTATCGGCCACGAACCTCCTCTGGTTCTCTTCCGTCAGGCGCTTGGCAGCCTTGAGCAGCGACCGGTACAAGAGCAGCACCTCCCTCCGCCCGACCTCCATCCCTACCTGCTCTCTGACCTGCTGCTTTCTGTGCTGCTTCAGGTGCTGCTTTCCTTGTCCTCCTTGCTAGCTAATCGGAGCATGCCCGGCATTGCCCGTAGCCGACTCATAAAACGGGACTCCCGGCGGGCCCGGCCCGGCCACTGTGACCCCGTGACCGTACCGTACTACCTGAGGTGAACTTACCGTGACAGGCCCCGGCGGCTTCCGATACCGGCGGCGGTCGCGGCCGGGAGATCGAGTCAACTTTCCGAGTTCACTCGAAGGGATTTCTGAAGAAAGCAAAACGTACAACATAAATTGCGAATTTGACTTCGGACCTCTATCTTCGGATCTTTCAAGTCGTTAAACCAAGGGCCCCGGCCGGGCGCCGCCGCCCCGGAAGGGCGGCCGCCGGCCCGATGCCACTGCCCGGGCCCAAGCCTACTTCCGAAGTTCGACGGCACTGGCCCAAGCCTACCGTACCAGCAAGCCTACTTCGACGAAACCCGCCCGGCCAGTAACTGAGTTGGGACCACTCACTGCGGCAGTGCCAGGTCACGGGTGCGGCCGGTCACCGGGCCGGACTCCGAGTCACTGAGTGGAGGGCAGGTCTGGGGTAGGGTCCTTTCAACAACAGGCAATCATGAGAGCATGGTGGGGTGGCAAGAGGGATAACCCACCCCATCGATTTTAGTAGCCTTACGGCTTTATGAAGGGATCGGTCAGGGTCCGGAGGTGGATGCCTCGATCAACAATAGGGTGGGTAGTCAAGAATGAGAGGAGAAGCATCGTGGTGGTATTTTAGGAGGTGGGGTCCTCTGAGTTTTCTAGAATCTCTTGAGTCGTGAATAGGGGTAGTAGAGTGAAGGACACCACCGGTTGGGTAGGGGAGGGGGTTGATGATATAAAGATGGGGTAGGGGTAGTCTGTGGTTGCATCTGATCCGACGAGGTTTTCATGACGGTGAAGTCAGCATTGAGACTACCCCTACCCACTTTTTGAGGTAAAGCAGGGGGTGGGAATACCAGGATCCCTCGTTCAAGGTACCGGTCCATATCTCAGCAGATGCCCCTCCCTTATTTTCAAAGTAGGGGTGGGTAGTTGTGCTCTGGTTCAACACCGAGAATCTAAATGGTAGGGGGTAGTCGAGGAAAGGGTGGGTGGCGTATTTATTTAGGTGGGGGTGGCCCTCTACTCGTTGTAAGGTACCGGTGCAGGCCGGGGGGTCAATTTCCACTGTGGGTGGGGTGTATTTTTAAATGGTCTGGGTTGCCGTTCGGAGATGAAGATGGAAATCTGTGGGTGGGGGTCATCAGACAGGGGTCCTAGATCAAACATGGGGTATAGACAGGATCCACCAGGGGTGGGGGTAGTAGGGGTCCCTTGCCGCGCTTCGCTGTCTGCCGTTCCACAATGCTCATGATGAGAAGCTTGATGCTCGTCGCTGCCATGCTCGCCTCCGTGAGTCGCTCAATGCTGTACATCGTGATCCTAATAATGCAGTGTCCCTTTCTCTTCCCTCTGATTCCTGATCCTCCAACCCTGCCTCCTTCCTTGTGTCCGTGATCCCGCAACCTCTCGGATTGTTCAGGGGATGCAATGGGTTAGAGCAGATTGTTCCGATGCAGAGTGGTCCTCAATCTTTTTCTTTCAAACCTATCAAGAGATTTGATTATGACTCTGCCTATAACTCTCTTCTTCTTGTTCCTCATGATTCTTTCCATGCCGCCTTTGCCTTGCGCCTTGTGTAGTTCTGTTATGCCCCATTGCTTACGTTTTCGGAAACAGGCCGATGCTTTCGCGTACACCCCTTCCCAGACTCTCATGCTCCGCCAGGGAGCCTCTGCTGTCTCTGGTTTGAAGAGAAGCTCCTTTGCTGTCGCCAAGCCCGCTCGCGCCACCGCCCTCAAGATGCAGTCGGAGGATGACAAGGCCAAGGCCTCTGGCATCGCCCTCGCCGTTGTCGGTCTCATCTTCTCCAAGTTCTCTATCCTCGTTGCCGTTCTTGCTGGAGGAGCTGGCGTGTACTGCGGTATTCCAAGTGCTTCTGACTTCATGTCGTCTGACGTCACTGGTTTACAGCTAAGCTGCCTGAGGAGGGAGACAAGGGACTCAGCGACACTGCCAAGCAGGTTTCTCTTCTCATCGGAACTTATGCCCTCAAGGCCTTCGACTTCGTCAAGCAGAAGGACGCGGAGGAGGGTATCAGCAAGAAGCTCGTTGAGCAGATCAAGGGAGGTGAGAATTCGACTGATTTGGCTCTCCCTTCGATTTGCCCCACTGTTAACTATCTACAATTCAAATTTTTGATTGTTTGATTTCTGATGTGATTCATTTTTGTTGCAGCTGTTGACGAGGCTAAGAACAACATCAAGCAGTAAATTAGAATCCCCATGGCTTTGATTGTTGCATGCTGAATTTGCTCGAAATGTTACAGTAAACAGACAATTGCGTAGGAACTAGTACTAGTGTTAAGATCTTGTCCTTGTCGGATTCTTTCAATGCTGTTTATTTTCTTATCATCACTTGTACGGAAGTCTGTTCGTAAGTGTCTCTCCAGTCTTCCGAAGGGATTTCCGCAGTTAGGAAATACTCTGATAAGCTTTCTACGAACTTCTTGTCCAAGTCGTACCGACTTGAATAGCCGAAGAATATGATAGTTCCCCGATGCGATAGTTTAAGCATTGTAGCAAGAAGTGCTTCCCACACGCGCGTATCTTGACCGAAAACAACATCAGCCGCCATGATGATATCTACCGTTGTCCCCCCTTCAACTCCCTCTGCCGGCAGCCTGGACATGCATAGCTGTACATCCTCGCTAGAACCCCAGTGCAGCCTGGCAACCTTGACAACGTGTTTCATATGCTGCCTGTACGCGCGCACATTCTTGGCAAGGAAAGGAATGACCGTCTCATCCCCATCTGTAGACACAACCCTGCTTCCCAACATCCCCAAGACGATCGACACAAGTCCAAGACCAGCTCCCAGCTCTACCACAGTCCGATCCTCGAACTTGAACTCCTGCCCCCTCGTCTTCACGACCTCCACGAAGGTTCTGGGCAACTTCTCTTCCATGTTCGAGTGGTACTTCGCGATGAAAGTAGCGAGGATGTATCCCGCCGCCCACGTCGTGGCCCCTGTTCCTCTACCTCCTTGCTGCAGTTTCACACTGTCAGGAAGAGAGCGCCCGGTCCCTGTCCATTCAAGTCGAAACTCGTGCTCGGTTTCATGCAACGAGGCCAGCAGGGGATCGGGGTTATACACCACCAGGGCTTGCTCCTTCTCACTCGAACATGTTGCCATGCTATCTGTAATGCTCTTTGCGCAGTTCTGCGAGAGATAGGATGGAGATGGTTGAGGTTTCGTGCTTAGCTTGGAGAAAGAGGCCAGATCGTGTTCCCAACGTGGTTCTTCCGTCGTGCTAACAAACACACCCAAGAAACTTGGGATCAGAATTGCAACGTAGATTCGGCTGGAGAATCTATATACTCTCTCTATTTTCATTGTACTGTTCGATCTCAAACATCGTTTCCTATTGTCAGTTATGTCTCTTCCTCGCCGCTTCCTTCTTGCAAGGTTGCCTTCACCTCTCTCGACCACTTTCTTTTCTTTCTCGTATTAGCCCTTGTTTGGTCTCAGGACATGAGATGACCTGACTTACCGATGCCCTTATCTTACCCTGATATCTCTATGAAGGTGTCTTGATGCTCATACCTCGATCTCATCTGACCTTCTTGACGCTGATACCTCCTTCGTTCGTGATCCCCTGCGTGAAAACCTGCTGAGATGCGTTCTCGTGGGTGAACAGTATTCATACTATGTTTTTAAAAGGATCTCAGTACTGGAATCTTAATAGTATATATGATACAATACAAAGTTTTGTTAATTCTATCAATCACTATTTGGTAAGGGGATGAAAACAGTTTTAAACCTAAAAGTTTCCACGCCTCCATGGCTCTTCGTGCCTGAAGAGAGGAAGAGAGGAAGAGAGGAAGAGAGGAAGAGAGGAAGAGAGGAAGAGAGGAAGAGAGGAAGAGAGGAAGAGAGGAAGAGAGGAAGAGAGGAAGAGGAGGAGTATCGTAGGAGGAGGAGGAGATATAGATTCAGAGGAAGAGGCAGGGAACCTCAACAAGCTGTGGTTTGTGAAGCGGCTGTTTAGGAGCTCGGGAGCAAGTTTCATTCTACAAGCAAATAGTCAGGATGGTACAGGCTGAAGAACCTTCAAAGTGTCACCAAAGTGGAAATTATGTGCATAACAGACGGGGGTTCATGTCTGGAATTATTGCAGTATTTGCTGTGATCACGGTATGCTATGCTATCGGAGGTCTCCCTATTCCCGATGGCTCTTCCTTGCTTTACGGCGGCGATGCAAATGTGAAAGTCGTAGAGATGAAGCACGGAAAGATTGGGATGGAGTATGCAAAGTCAGCAGCATCACAGATGGGAGGAAGAGGACACGAGGACTACAGCCCGTACTCACAGGGGTACAAGTTTGCTCGGCGTCAGGGGAGGATCATGCGCGCTGCTTCGACGGTGTATGCTCCATGGAACGCTCGTTCTTCGCTCGGAAAGCCGCAGGATGAGAGCCTGAGGCCGCAGGAGGGCGGGAAGAGGACAGTAGTCTCACCTCCCGCTTCGGATCTCGGCTTGCTGCAGGCTACCCTTGACAGTGTACGGCAAGACCAACGGGACGGCATGCACAAAGACGCGAAACTCTCCAAGGAGCTGAAAGAGCCTGCGAAGCCTCATGCGGCAGCAGCCAAGAGCAGCTCCCTTGCTACAGGGAGCTCTCAGCAGAGCAGGAAGGAGGAGACGCGCGGATCGACCGCTTCCAAGGCAAGGACACAGTCTCTGGCTGAAACCAGCCCGTCCTTGAACGCCCTTCCTCCAGCTCAGCAGCCTGTGGCGGATGCCAACGATGCTGCCAACAGCATCCGCTCTGCGATCCCTCCCGTCCCCTCTTCCGACGATGGGTGTGCAGGAGGAGTTCTGTGCGCGATCCCTACGGACGACGTGGCAGTGCAGGCGCTGGAGGCTCGGCTGCAGGCAGATGAGATCGCGATCCACACGCTGACGCAGGACGTGCAGGAGCTGAGACATCAGACGTTGGAGCTCGAGAAGAGAGCGAAGAAAGCATGAGGAATGAAAGACGTGTTTGCTCCTGTCTTAACATCACGTGCTGCCCCTGGCCTGATTGCTCTCGTGTCATGAATGTATCTAGTGCTCGAGTCCTTTGTGAGATGTCGTGAATTTTACTACATTCACTCTCTTGCCGTTGTTCTCTCATCATTCTCTTCTCACTCTCCTCCCCGTATCTCTCTTCACCTTATCGCTCTTTGAGTTCTCAAAACTTCTCGCTCTTCTCTCTGTTTTCTACATCTCTACATCTCACTTCTTCTCCCCGCTTCCTTGATGTCTCTCGTTGATGTCTCTCCTTGATGTCTCTCCTTGATGTCTCTCCTTGATGTCTCTCCTTGATGTCTCTCCTTGATGTCTCTCCTTGATGTCTCTCCTTGATGTCTCTTGATCTTCTTCCCTCATCACTTCTTCTGATCTTTCTACATCGTCATCTCCTCAGTTGTGCTCATCTCCACTCTCTTGCACTGGTTTTGTTTTGCTTCGAGTCCCGCACGGCCTGACGATGTCCATCAAGTTACCGTAGGGTAGACAACACCGAGTAGGGTAGGGTGATACTACCCCCATGTGCAAATAATCAATAATCACTATTCTCATCAGGGGTACAATGAATTTGTAGGGGGTGGGGGGTACGACGAAGGACAATATCACACCCACTTGAACATGGCGATAAATGCGCTATTTTGAAGGGAGACGAATGAATGCAGCGGAGCGATGAAGAGACAGCGATGACGACGATGAGAAGTTATGAACAAAAAGAGTACAAGCACGAAGAGAAGCTGAGGAAGGTGAGGGAGAAAGATCAAGATCCTTGAGGAGGAGCAGAAATTTGAAAGCAAGGCCCGAGAAGAAGCTTGCGTGACATTGGGAGGTACTTTGATAAAGACCCGATAAGAATTGAAAGGAGAGGGTGAAACTGCAGCCTGGTAGGTAGGAGAGGCTGACGCTGATGTTTCCGACGGGACTGTAGCCAGCGGATGGACTGGGTTACAATCCGACAGTGAACGTGTCAAGTACTACAAGGACTGAGATCTGAATACGTGTTTGCAAACCATGAGCGAAACGATCCACAACGGTGGGAGCAATGATCATAACGAACTGCTTGCAAGCCTGGATGCTGCACTCTTGGTCGCCATGGACGTGGAAGAACTCCCCACAGCACACATAAAGGGAGAGAAGAAGGTTGCGGATCCCTACGAGGACTTTGATTTCCTGCTCTCCGAGAACTCGCAGTCTCTCTCGGACTCTGCCAGCAAGGCTTCTGATGACCATCCTGCCGAGGCTGACAAGGCGGAGAAGGATGAGGAGGCTGCTGCCGTGCGAGCTTCCCCTAGCCATGGCGACCGACCACCCACGCAGGAGACGACACAAGAAAGGTTCAGGCTGAACTTGTCCATCGCTGACGTGGTAAACCTGCCGATAAACTCACGGAGCGCCGGGGAGTTCTACGTGGAGATAAGGGTGTTGGCGAGAGGAAAGTTCGAGAGGAAGAGCAACAAGCTAGTGCGCACGTCTCGTGTCAAGAAGACTTGGTCGCGCGAGAAGAAATCGCATGCTCAGTTCGATGGAGAGAAGTTTCAAATCTCCGCCTCGCGCTCAGACGCCTTCGTCTTCATCCTCTGGGAGTACAACAGCCGAGGAGCCGACGTCAAGAACGGATTTGCCAAGGTCTTTGGGTATGACCTTGTGCCAGGCGGCGAAGGCAGCGAACGCGATGGCGAGCTCGTGTACAGTCTGTCGTTACGAGCCTCACAGGATGCTGAACTGTGCGGTCCCGATGGCTTCACAACGAAGGTGGAGATTCACGTCGACAGCATCGAAATCCTTGAGGCTTCCTCCTCTCCCTCGAAGAATTCTCCCAACTTCCTGAGGCTGCCGAGGAAGGTTGTTGGCAGCCCTGCCGGCGAGCAGAAGGAGAGGAGCTCGAAGAAAGTGAACAGCTCTCCTCCCGCTCCCAAGAACGAAGGGATTGAGACGCGACCGACCAGCGCGCGGCTGGTCAAACTTTCTGCTCCTCATCCAGTGAGCCCCGAAGCCCGTGAAGGCAGGGACTCAGATGCATCCAAGGACAAGGAGATCGAAGAGCTCAAGAGCCAGCTGCATGAAGTTTATTCTCACCTCAAGGAGCTGCAGGTCAAGGTCAGTAGATACTTGTTCTCTGACTGACTGACTGACTGACTGACTGACTGACTGACTTGACTGCCTGCCTGCCTGCCTGTCTATCCTGCTGCATTTCCGTTTGTCGCTCAGCATTGTCTCGCTAAGATCATGGCAGGTTGAGAGCCGCTCGCAGTCGCACTCGATAGCAGAGAAGGCAACAAGAGAGGCGATCAAACGGCTCGAGCAGAGCGAGGAGGTGAGAGGAGGGAGACGGGAGCGTCCTTTCTCACGTCTTGCTGAGCAGGAGAACAGTCAGCTTCGGCGAGACAATGATCTCTCACAGAAGCGCGTCCTCCAGCTCGAGAACCAAGTAGCCCTGATGGAGCAGGAACGTGCTGCCATGGTTCCTCTCCTGTCGTTCATTCCCGCTGCGTCTGACGTCGTTGTGTCAAGGGTCTGAGTCTTTCCAAGCTGGACAGCACGGTGTCGAGCCTAGAGGCAAGTATCCCTTACCTGCATACCTTCGTGTCCCACCCATCCCCCCCCTTCCTTTCTGTCGATCCTCGTATTACAGTTTCTTGTCCTCTCCTCTCCTCTCTCCTCTCTCCTCTCTCCTCTCTCCTCTCTCCTCTCCTATGCTCGTCTGATCGCCATGCAGCTGATCTGGTCGCATGCGAACCTCCATCCATCAAGGACCACGGAGGTGCTCTTCAACCGCCTCCTCTTCCTCCTTTCCTGATCAGAGGCAGGCAAAGTGGAGCCTTGCGATGGAGGATCCGTCTCTACCAGCAACACCGCACGTGTCAGGTTCCTCCTTCTTCTCCTCCTACTCCTCCTGCTCCATCACCTCCTCATCCCTCCTCGTCCTCCCTTCTCCTCGTCCCCGTCCTCCATCTCCTCCCTCCCTCCCCCTCCTCCTTCCCCCTCCTCGACCTCCTCCTCCACTCAGATTTTTTCCTACTCCCCTTGTCAAACTTCCTCGATAACCCCTACCCCCCCTCTCTGGCAACTTTTAACCCCTTCGTCAATATTTCGTACCCCCACCCCCTACCCCCCTCGAACTCAACGTTCATATATCTGTGTACCCCTACCTTCGGTGGCTACGTCCCTCCCCAGATTACCTACCTGCTACACATCACTAATCGAGTACCCCTACCTCCTCTTTACCTGTTCAATACACCCCTGCTGATGGCAACTGAAACCACCCTTGTACCCCTCAATTACTACAACTCCTGACCACCCCTCCCGTTTAGTCAACAGCTCAGTCCGTCCCCACTACCCCTTGAGTATCTTGAGGAGACTACCCCCACCCCCTGTTTTACATCCACCCTCTTGTTACCACCCCCCTTGAAGACTCAACCGCCATTGCGGGCGTGATGCACGGGCCAGAGCACGACAGAAGAGGAGGAGGAGGAGGAGGAGGAGGAAGAGGAGGAAGAGGAGGAGGAGGAGGAGGAGGAGAAGAAGAAGAAGACAGGGAGGATATGGATCAAAGTCTTGAGAGAATGCAACGATGACAGGGTCAGACTTGAGGAGAGCGGACGATTTGAAAGGAAGGCAGGGCGGTGAGTGGAGGTGGCGTCAGAATCAGGGTCAAGATCAGCAGCAACAGAATTAGCATGGCTTTCATACTCCGCAGAGAACGAGGCTGGAGCACGCATGCTCGGAAGCATGGTTGATAGCATCTCATGTTTACTTAGATAAGATGAGAAAATTCTCGCTTCCTCCACTCCTCTGTATCCACAGCAGCCTCCAACTTACCCTCCCCCCACTTTCCCATCCGTTCCATCCCTCCCTGGCCTGAACCCTGAGTTAAATTCGTTTCCCTCCCTGGCCTGAACTCTGAGTTGAATTCGTTTCTTCTGCTCCTGTTGGCGTTCTTTGCTCATCCCTTTCTTGACTCTGCGCAGGTTGCTACCGGCATCTCGCGCACCTTGAGCCTGCGCGATGAGAAGAATTTGAATCTGAGCGATCGAAAACTGACAAGGTTTGCTCCTCCTCCTCCTCCTCCTCCTCCTCCTCCTCCTCCTTCCGTTTTTGCATCGTTTCTGTCTTTCTTGGTTGTCAGAGTGTCTTGTCCCCTCCCTTCCCTTTGGAGCTCGCTCGCACTTTCTTGGTTGTTCTGAGAGATGTTAAATCTACAACCTTACTTGAACCGTCCCGACTACCTTGCCCAGTGGCGGAATGACTATTGCCAACAACCCCACCCCTAAGTCTACTTTACACAGGTTGTTAGTAGGTGGGGTCACGGAGTCAGCAGCGGGACAACGAACCGAATTTTTTTAAACCCTATTAAATAAGTAAAATGTTTGGTACTGAGGAATTCCGTCAGGCTGCTGTCATGAACTCAATCCGAATAGCCAAAAGGACCCACCCCCCGTCCCGAACCGCTGTGCCGGAGAATTTTCATCCTCTGCCAGATTTTCCTTCAAGATCTTTGAATTGATTTCAAAATCTGATTGGAATGTTTTACAAAACATAGCTTGAATGTCGACACCTGGGGCAAAGGGGTCTCTATTTTATAATGTTTATATTGCTTTTGGTTCTTTT